CTAGTAACCACTGACCAGCTGTTTGCATCTCGTCTTGACCTTCGTGACCAACCCCTTCAGCAGCCAGACTTAATATTGTACTGTGATGGTAGCAGTTTCATCAACCCTCAAGGACGTCGCAAAGCAGGCTATGCTGTTGTAGATGACCATCAGGTGATACAAGCAGAATCTCTACCCGTTGGAACATCTGCTCAACTAGCAGAAATAATAGCCCTGACAGTTGCCCTACATCTAAGCAAGAATGCAGCTGCAAATATATTCACCGATTCAATGTTTGCTTTCAAGGCAGCCCATGCACATGGAATGCTGTGGCAACACCGAGGATTTATTACAGCCGCTGGAAAGGATATCAAATATGGGCCAAATCTTCGTCTTCTGCTAGAAGCCATCAATCTGCCAACTAAGATTGCAATAATCCACTGTCGAGGACATCAACGGAAGTCTGACCCAATTGCAGAAGGAAATGGTCGTGCTGATAAAGCAGCTAAGGAAGCAGCAGAAGGAAAACTTTGTCTCCGCACTCTAGTTCCTAGTCCGTCAGTCTTAGCCTGTCCTGTCTTCCCCACTCCAGTCTCAGCTTGGACGCCTCGTTACACCAAACATGAAGACTACCTCTGTGACCAGCAATCAGCAAAAAAGAATGAGGAAGGTTGGTGGATCTTGCCAACAGGAAAAATTTGGATTCCAGCCTCCTTAGGCTATGAAATAATGAAAGCCCTTCATGCTAATACCCATTATGGATCTTCCAGTCTTGTTAAAGCCTTAGACCGCTGGGCTCATCTGGAACGGAAGACAGCATTAGCAGACCTCGTGTGCCGTCAGTGTGTTACCTGTGCCCGAAACAATCCTAGAGAAGGTCCCCGACGACCTCCAGGAATCAATACCCCAGGACCAGCCCCAATGACTTCGCTTGTTGTTGATTTCACCGAGATGCCAAAAGTTGGTCGTCATCACTACCTGTTGGTGTTTGTCTGTACGCATACTGGATGGATAGAAGCGTTTCCAACTGCCACTGAAAAGGCCTCAGAAGTTGCCCGAGCCATGTTAAGGGATCTAATTCCAAGATTCGGATTACCTACCTGGGTTTCCTCTGATAATGGACCAGCCTTCATCTCTGAATTAACTCAGCAAGTTGCCAAAGCCTTAGGAATCATCTGGAAATTACACTGTGCCTATCGTCCCCAGAGTTCAGGAGCAGTAGAACGAGCTAATAGAACTCTTAAAGCCTCCTTGCGGAAGTTCACCCAAGAGACTGAACAGCCATGGCCTAAGATTCTACCTCTAGTGTTATTCCGACTGCACTGCCTCCCTTCCAAACGAACTTCAGTTTCTCCTTATGAGGCAATGTTTGGCCGTCCTCCCCCACTGACCATGGGAGTTCATACCGATGCTTATGGGTTTCATCAGTTAATCACCTCAGCAGAATTACAAGCCCTTGGACGACAAGTTGAGAAACTCCAAAGACATTACTCTGCCTGTCTCCCAGTTCCCTTGTTTGATTCTGTGTGTCATGTCAGTCCTGGAGATTCAGTATGGGTTAAAAATTGGAGACCAGAGCCCTTAGGGCCAAGGTGGGAGGGACCTTTCACTGTTTTACTCAGTTCCCCTACAGCTGTGAAGGTCGTTGAGAGGAAACCCTGGATCCACTGGACGAATTTGAAGCTTGCCCATACTAGATGGACTGCTGAGCCAGGATCTAATCCTACTACTGTGAAGCTTAGACGTGTCGTGCCCAGTAATCCAGCAAGCTCTGCTTCTCTTGGGCCCACGCCCCAAGAGGACACAGCTGAAGATTGACTCCAGAACCCCTGCTGAGACCTACCGGAAACGGTCTCCCTGCGCACGGGTGAAAAATCAGACCTTCGTTGGAGCATCAGGCCCTGCTCTAGTCACACCGGAAGCTGACTAGTCGACGCACAGGCCCAAGATGTGGATGCTTCTGTTAAATTGTGTTTTTGTACCTTCTATGATCTGCATCCCAGTTATGGGGTTTCCTGCTTGTACCTCTTGCATTACTTCCACTTTTCGTGAAGGTCAAGTCTCACAAACCCTCATTTATCATTCTGACTTTGATTGTATTTCGTCTGTAGTTACCCAATGTTCTCATGAGGGCATAAGTTACAGTGTTTGTGTAAATCAAGGGAAATTTATGTGCTTTCGACCCCAGTCCAATGTGACTCGGGCCCGTATTAATGTTTATGCTTATATTAGTGGATGGTACACAAGTCCTGATACTTTCACCTCTTCCCTTTTAGCGTCCAATGTCACTTCCCAGTCTAGTCAAAGTATGCAAGTCTGTTTTGACATATGTCATGCCATCTCTCGAAGTCGAAAGTATAGTGCAGGGGAAATTAGACAAACGTGTGGAGGGCTAGCTAAAGAGCAGAGCTATGCCAAAGAAGGGAAAATGTTTCTGTCATCAACTTATGAACTTGAAGCACAAGTCTGGTATGTCTCTAATGATGGTAATATCTCAGATGGACCTCAAGGTGGAATAGTGGGAGGAGGGAAAGCCCACCCGTACTTTAAGTTATCCCAGGGAACTAGTCTAACCCCTTGCAGCCATAACCACTGCACTCCCTTGTGCTTACATTTCCGAGCATCCGAGACCCAGGGAAGACAGAAACTGATGTATGGGGTTGGCATAGATATTGGTGGTCGAAAAAGTCCATACGGACGCATTGTCATAGAAACTATTAGTTCAAAAATCCAAAGCACTGAAATGAAGATTGGTTTGGAAACATACTTGGAGATTGGAAACGTATATTGTTCTTAATAGCCTTAGCCTTTGGTGGTTTGTTACTTCTCCCTTGTTTGATACCTTTGGTTAAGAATGTAGCTACCAAAACAGTTAATGCAATGTTAGCTCACAATGATACTGTTAAACTTTTATATTTGGTTACTGCTAAGAGGAACAGGTTGAACACTAATGCATAAATTCTTCCACAGGTTAAAGAAGAAAAGTACTGTTAGTTACTGTATACTCTCCAGGCAAGGAATAAATGCTATGCCATGTTATTGGTCGGTCTCTCTCTCTGTCCCAGAGAAAGGACCGAAAGGGGGGAATACTTCAGAAGCAGTGGGTTCTAGATCAAATCAAGCCTGAACTCTCCCTAGAAAATAAAATGACTAAAGTTAAGCTATTGTACTTTGGTCACATTAAAGGTAAAGGTTCCCTTGCTCGAAAGCCAGTCGAATCCGACTCTAGGGTTGCGGTGCTCATCTCCGTTTCAAAGCCGAAGAGCCAGCGCTGTCCGAAGACGTTTCCGTGGTCATGTGGCCGGCATGACTAAACACCAAGGTGCACGAAACGCTGTTACCTTCCCACCGAAGTGGTACGTATTTATCTACTTGCAATTTCTTGCTTTCGAACTGCTAGGTTGGCAGGAGCTGGAACTAGAGATGGGAGCTCACTCCATCATGCGGCACCCGGGTCTCAAACTGCTGAACTACTGACCTTCCACAGCCTGCAGTTCAGCGTCTTAACCACTTGAGCCACCGCAGCTCCGTCACAAAAGTCATTGGAAAGGCAATAATGCTATGAAAAGTTGAAGGCAGCAGGAAAAGAGGAAGACCCAACAAGAAAGGAAGTCGGGGCTTTCAGTTTGCAAGACCTGAGCAAGGATGTGAACGACAGGACATTTTGGAGGTCATTAATTCATACGGTCGCTATAAGAAGCGACTTGATGGCAGATAACACACACAGAGGTCAGTACTCAGCACAATTGTAATCAGTCATCCATCTGTGACAATGGGATCAATAACAGATGGATCCCCAGACCATCCACCACCAGTTCAGAATATTTGTAGAGTGACCTGCAGTGTGCTTTTCTCATGGGATCGGGAAGCCTTGCATCAGTCCTTTCAGTTTATTTTCTAAGTGATAAGCAAGTATAGTGTTAATGATATTTTATATCTTAATTAGTCACAAGTGTGGGTTGGAGATTTATTTAAAAACATTAAAATGCTAGTTTCTATAACACTTGAGTTGAAACAGATATCTTCTAGGGATGTTCTTTCAGAGTTGCTGCGCCCTCTAATGTTCATTGTACCGATTTGCGACTGAAATGCCTTTAATTCGGCAGAATACACAGACAGCGTTAAAAATCCTCATGGATCCGGAAAAGAACGTTTACGCCTTCGGTTCTCTCATCCTACGAGGCGATATCAACCATACATCATATACAGCAAAATCTAACAGTTCTAAGTGGGGGTGTAGCATTTCTGTGTGTGTTTGAAGCGTGTGAGGAAGAGGGGGGATTTAAAATAAAGCGAAATATAATCGCTGGGCTCTCGTCGTACAACCCGTACGGACAAAGTCAAAAATACACGGACGTTTGCGGCCCCGGAATAACATTTCCCAGCAGTCCACACTAGCGTGAAATAGGCAGTAATCCTCAATTCTGAAACCGATAGGCTTTTGGGAGTTGTGGGCGCTGATTATACCGAAGCAAAAAACTTGAGATTTCTGGCCTCTGTACCTTTCTGGATTTGATTCTAATTTAACGTGATAAACCTGCACTGCATGGCCCTGTTATTTTTTCATATCTTTTACATAAAAGGCGTAGCGAGAAGCCACCGCATTGCATCTGAAAAAGTGGGCTCTAAACTCACAAAAGTTTATGCTTGAATAAAATGTGTTATTCTTTAGAGGAACCTCCTGTTTATTTTTGCTGCAAAAGACTAAGAATGCAATCCTACCGAGAGATACTGTCGTCTAAAACCATGGGCTTACATTGAAATAATTTCCACAGGACTCCGCAGCAACGAGAATACCCCGCACGGTTCTTTTTCGAATCCCGTCACCTCTCGTTGTACTTCAAGAGCTAACCTATGACGCAAAACATCGTGTACATGATGGGACAGTACTCTCGCGTTCCCTATTGGGGCTTGTAGTCCTTAATCCTGGCATGAAGGTGGGCAGGCCTGGGTGAACGGACTCGCTTTCCCATGATGCTGGTCGGTAAGGCACTGTTGTGTTGTGGCCGGAATTTGCGCCACTAAGATGGCGGCGGTTGTGGGGAGAAGTGAGCGACGCTGACGTCCGGAAACGTTACAGGTGAGGTGTCTCCCCTGCTTTCCTTGGTACTGTCGGCTAGCACTGGGAGATAGAGGTTTGTAGCAGGTGGGGGCAACTGTTTCGGTTCAGCGAGAAACCGGGGGCGGGGGGGAGGCTCCGACTGAATTCTTTCTCATCGCCTCCTGGTAAATGTTTGCCAGGACTCCGCTCTGGAACCTGTTCCATATATTTCCATTAGATAAGACTAGTAGACAGTATCTCTCAGCAAGTGCAGAGGACATTTGTCTCTTGGCTAGGTGACTGAGAATCCCCTCGTATCGGGAATTATGGGGCTGATGTTTCTGGCATGCTTGAGCCGAAGAGGCCGGTGTCCCCCCCCCCCCCCCCATTAAGCATTTGCGTTCCTTTTCCCGATCTTTATAATCTAACGAAAATCTCAGGGTTGGATGGAGCTCTCTTCAGTTCCATCCTACTAATGGGGGGAGAGTAAGGTTGCCAGGTCACCCTTGGCTACTGGCAGGGGATGGGGTGGGGTTGCCAGATCCAGGCTGGGAAACTCCTGGAGATTTGCGGATGGAGCCTGGGGAGGACAGGCCCCTCAATGGGCTACAAAACCATAGAGTCCACCCTCCAAAGCATCCATTTCCTCCAGGGGAATGGAGCTCTGTAGTCTGGAGATGAGCTTTAATTCCAGGGGGTCCCCTGGTCCCACCTGGAGGCTGCCATCCCTGGAGGAGAGTGAGGCACTGATGGTTTTCACTCTGCTCTGCAGGAAGAGTGCTCTAAGGCTGTGCCTTCCCCAACCCTGGACAGATGGCCAGCAAGTCCTTCACTAGATATGCTTTCTTTATATACACTTATCTTGCATGACATGAATGATAATGGGGGGCAGGAGCAGACGGCATGCCTCGGGGGACCTATTTTACCTTGAGAATCTAGTTTATACATTCCAAAAACAAATTCTAATATTGCAAAATAGCTGGTGTGTCATTTATAGAGGAAGGAGTTCAGTTTATTTATTGCAGTTGGTGCTCTCCAGTACCTTTCTTTCTCCCCACCAAGTGGTTTTAGAAAGTGGGTGGGGCAAGGTGGGACTCTTGCCCAGTAGGGTTTGCAATTGACTGCTGAAGATGTGATCAGTTATACAGATTAAAATAACATTGTTTGAGTGGCAGCTGCCACAACAGTGTTTATTTTATTCTCTCTCACCCCTCTTTCCCAGAGTATTTTATTATTACCCCTCTTCTCCCCTGCACTTGGGCTTCTTCTAAACGTCTTGCGACCCTCATCCCTTTGGGATTGCCTCTCCTGGCATGATCCTCCCTGTCTTCTCTGATCTTCATCTTGGCATTTATTGAAGGTCCATGAACTGTCTGCCTTGTGTCAACAAGGGCGAGGGCCTTCTCAGCAGTGGCCCCTGTCTTGTGAAACCAGCTGCCCGAAGAGGTGCGTACATTGTGGGACCTCCCTAGGTTCTGCAGGGCATGCAAGGCAGCACTTTTTGGGGCTTCCTTTGGGTGATTGTGATCCACCAGGCAGCTGGTATGCTTCAGCTGTTTCTTCACTGTCATTGCATCCTACCCTGCTTGATAGTGGATAGATGTTAATGGGGATAGATTTTTAATCGTTTTATGTTTTAAAGATGGTTTACTGTATGTTTTATTGGCTGCTGTATGCTGTTAGCTATCCTGAGTCCTATTTGGGAGAGAGGGAGCAGGATATAAATTTGATAAATAAATATGTGGCTCCACTTCCTCTGGCAGCCATTTTGTGATTGCGCCCACCACCCTGTGTCAGAATTCCAAAGGTGCCCCACAGGCTCAAAAAAGGTTGAGGACCTATGATCTGTTGGGTTATGTCTATGAATTATTGAGAGATTTCTATACAGAAACAGAATGTTTTCTTTTTGTTGTTGTTGTTTTCTGATGGGAATCTTTCCTTTTCCACAAATTAATACTGCTGTCCCTATCAAGATGGCTGGGGAAACTGTTGAAAAGAGAGAACGGGATTCTTCACCCGTCAAAGAAGAGCGAAGACGCTCACGCTCACCAGACCGGGAACGTGACCGAGATCGTGATAGGAAAGGTTCTCCTCTTGCCAAGGACAGGAAGCGTCACCGTTCCCGTGAGAGGAGGAGAGGCAGTAGGTCAAGATCCCGCTCCCGATCCAAGTCAACAGAGAGGTAATGCTAGAGTGGTGCTATCCGAGTTGTAGAAAGTAGCTTGTCAATCTGTTTTAAATCAGTCACCTTTGAGTGGTGAGGTAACTGTTAGTGGTGAATTTGAGCTGCAATGATTTGGTGACTAATGGAATCAAGCAATTTGGCACAGAAGTATAGTTGCAAGCCAGGCTGATTCAAACCAGGGTTGTTTTGTTTGCATTTTCTCATGGCTGCCCTGGTCATATGTTCTACAACTGCACTGAGGAGCTCTGGTCTGTTTCATTCCCATCAGATACTTGCAGAGCTTTAGGGAGACATTGTGCATGTTTTTGTGTATATGCAGTAATATGCCTTAGAAGCCACACTAGAATCCACATTTTATTTATTTATTTATTTATTTCGATTTATATCCCGCCTTGCCTGCACATACATTCTGCACTTTAAAATAAAGAAAAAAATCTGTGCAAAAGGTATCCCAAACAGTACACTAACAAAAGCTAATTTCTTAGATCTGCTTAAATTATGTAGAGGTAAACTTTACCTGGGTTGAGCCAGTTTGGTGTAGTGGTTAAGTGCACGGACTCTAATCTGGGAGACCTGGGTTTGATTCCCCACTCCTCCACTTGCACCTGGTGGATGACCTTGGTCAAGCCATAGTTCTGTCAGAGCTGTTCTTGAAAAAGAGCAGTTTCTGTCAGAGCTCTCTCAGCCCCACCTACCTCACAGGCTGTCTATTGTGGGGAGGGGAAGGGGAAGGAGTTTGTAAGCTGCTCTGAGACTCCCTTGGGTAGTGAAGGGTGGGATATAACTCCAATCTCTTCTCTTCTTCTTGATTCCGCACAAAGGAGTTTTTCTGTTGTGGTCATGTTGCTGCTGTGATTGTTCATCAAATTGCACTTGCAGTGGAGATTCCAGACAGCTTAGGGTAATCCACTTTTTAATCATTATTAGCTGTGGGTTTTTTTTCATGCCAGGTGTGCACTGCATCCCCACCCACCCCACTGGCCTCATAGTTCTCTGCCTTCCCTTTAAAAAAAAGAAGGTGCATGCATAAGCACTGATCAAGAATAGTGGAACTGTAAACCCTTTTGGAGAAAACCCTGCATTCTTTCAGTTGCAGTGCTAAACAAGATGCTGGGACAGATCTCCCCCCAATCTCACTACATAATGTATTTTCCTCTTGTATATTTGGGCACTGATGCCGTGCTGATCAAGACACTAGTGTGGTTTCTTTCCCCTCTCCATCTCTCTTTGGGCTCAATTTCAGTGCCAGGCTGAACAAGACACTGGTGCTGATTCATCCCCCCCCCCCACACACACACACACACACCAGTCTCCCTGGCTTTATATTGCTGTACTCTAGTAACTGCAATGTGCTGTTGCCTTGACCCCCCCCCCAGTTCCTTTTGACACTTTTCCCTATATTTGGGCTCCATTTCATTGGTAGGCTGGTTCCAGTTCACTCCCCCATGCACATACTGGTGGCATTTCCCCCTCCCCCTGGTTTTGCATTGCAGTACTCTAGTTAACTACACTGCGATGTTGCCTTGACATCCCCCTCCCCCCAAAAAAACCACCCTTGGGCAGGAATTTACTATTTCCTTCCACTCAAGCACAAGGCATACCTTTCTTTTTTTGAAAACAAGAAAAAGATTGTTCTGAAAATGTCATGCTGAGAACATTTTTCCCAGTTTTTTTTTTTTTTAAAGAAAAGGATGGTTTTGCAGAAAGAACAGGCTGTGTACGACTTGTGCACGAATGTTGAATGATGTCATGTGGAGATGAAAAAAAAAATGCACAGGTCAGGTGGCTGAATTGGGGAAAATCCTCCATGTGGAATCAACCCTGCTTCTTTTACATAATTTGTTTGGTTGCAAGCTATGGGACACGGCACTTGTAAAGGAGCCATGCAAACTATTGAGCCACAGCCCTAAAAATGTGGCTCTGTCGTGACCCCTCCATTCTGCATCTGAATTTTGGCTTACCATTGCCTGTCCATTTATATCGGCCTTTGTGGGAGCTTGTCAGTCTGGCTAACATGGCACACTGGCCCAAATCTCTCATGTTCTTCTCTTTTTACTCCATTGCCGCCTTCCTCCCCTTGCTTTGTCATCTCCCCTTTACCAAATTTTAGATTTGTAAATCAAGGCCAAGGTTCTGCTGCTGGGCACCAGTAGGTTGACACTGGGTTCTGCTGCTGGGCACTAGTACATTGCACTGGTTCTGCTGTCCTTGCAGAAATGACCCCCTTACTTCAGAGATTCTCAGATCTGACCTTAGTCCTGTTGGGTTTTGGAACTGCCATAGTGACACTGGTTCTGCTGCTGGTCTTGCAAAAATGCCCCCCCTCCCACTTCACTTTCTACTTCAGAGATTCTCTGGGACATTCTGCTGGGTTTGTATTGCCTTGCTATTTTTCTCCCATTGGAAACAATGGAGGATGGGAGGACCCTCTTTGGGTGTCCATAGAATTGGACCCCCTGATCCAATCTTGTTGAAACTTTGGGGGTTCTTTCGGGAGAGGCTCCAGCAGCTACACTGCAAATTTGGTGTCTCTACCTCAAACCCCCTCCCTCAGTTCACTGAATATACCCTAGGAGATTTGCCATTGACTATAATGGCCTCATAGGGTATAATGGAGCTGAAAAATTCAGGATTCCTGGATTTTACCCAAATTCCAATACAATACTGATACTGGAATTTGTGTTTTCAAGGCAATACCAAATTTTAAGTGTCCAAAGAACCCCAATCCGAAAAATACCAATTATATTTTTTGCACATCCCTAGTGTAGACCTTACCCAGTCCTAACTTCCATCCACCCAATATGGCAGATAGACCAATCCCCACACAATTATATGTAGGTTATTCTATCTTACACCGAAGTAGGGCTCAGGTGAGCCCACCGGGGACTTATGCTTTCTGTAAAGACGAGCATTTAATAATCGATCTTTCAAAGACCAAAATTCTTTTTTTCTCTAAAAGGTTTATCAAACACTCAGCTTTCCCATATAACTGAATCTGGCCAAAGAGTGGCTCCAGCAACTTTAAGATTCTTCTTTACAAAAGGGGGCTCTCATATACCATATGCACAGAAAGTCTTTCAGGCAAGGGGCTCTGGGGCAAGTGATGCTCTGTCTTCTTGGTGCTGGGGGGGGTCAACTGTGGGAGGGCTTCTAATGTCCTCGTCCCACTGGTGGACTTCCTGATGGCATTGGTATATTCTGGCCACTATGTGACACAGAGTGTTGGACTGGATGGGCCTTTGGCCTGATCCAACATTGGGGTCTCTTATGTTCTTATGTTAAGGTAGTTCCCCAGTTTATGTATGGTTCATAGACATGTCTGTACAATGACTACTGTAAACTAGAAGCAGTCCAGTCCGAATTCCTCAGATCCTTATTTGGAGTACCTCGTTGTGTACCCAATGGCCTGCTTAGGGTAGAAGCAGGATTGGTTCCAAGCTATATGCTTCAGGCTCAAGTTAACCCCCCCTTCCCCCCCAGATTAACTTCATTAATCCTCCCAGACAATTTTCACTCAAGGTGGGTAAGAGCAATAGAGGACAAATTGCAACTACTAGATTTCTCCTTTACTGCATCTTGGGTACCAAGGAGCCAGAGCACTAATGAAACACAGACTATGGGACACTGCCCTTCAAGTTGACACATCACAGACCGACTGTGACAAATATTTCATTCCAACAAGTTACCTTTATACATTAGAATTCTCCAAACACCACAGAGCCTTCCCTCTGGCCTGGTTTAATGCCCTCCCATCTGCCCTTCTTGAAGGGAGATATCCACGTATCCCACATGTACCAGATCTCTGTCCATGTCAGTCTAGAATAGTAGAAACAATTGAACATGCCCTCTTACATTGCCAGTTTTACCAGGTCATTCAGAATACATACATTACCCCAATTCTGTCCAAATATCCAGGTAGATCAAATTATTTTTAAACTTCTCTTCTTCTTGCCAATTGTTTCAACGAAACTACCTTTAAGGTAGCAAGATTCTGCACTCTGGCATGTTTAACAAGGCAGAAGAACATGGTCTAGTGTTTTAATGATTTTATTATTTTAATTGTATATTTTCTGCACAGAATATCTATTTTATGCATCCAGTGTGCATTATGTATCATTGATATTCTTGACTGCTGATCTCGGATAGTCATAATAATAAACTATTACTGTTAATGTTCTAATGTCCAATTTTTTTGCTACCTGTCAGACGGCAAAAGTTAAGATACATATCGTAAGGTAACATTGGGTGCAGCAGTTTGCCACTGTTTCTCAGGCATTGAGTATACTTGCAATTTTTCTTACAAAAAATGAAGACATTCATCCTTTCAAATTCTATAAATATGTCAAATGCTGTGATGTTAAATCAGTAAAACAAGTTTAGTTTTAATAAGGAAGTAAATGTTGCATATATTTCAGGTTTTCCCACCCACCCACCCACCCCCAAATTGTTTGTTTCTGTGGCTTCAAAATTTCAGGAAATTTTACATCTGTATCCAGAGCACAGATAGGAAATAGATCTATCTCTGTCTCATCTACAAAGGATCATGTTCCCAATCAATCTCATTTTGCAAGGTGTTTCAGAGATGAAGCAGGTGCTGGTTGGATCCAAATTTGCAGTCTTGGTGACTAGGCATTTATTTTAAACAAAAAACCCTGAGATTCTTAGGAGCAAAAAAGTTTCAAAAGCAAATTCAGCACTTCTGTTGCGCTATCAGAGAAGTGTGCAAACATGTTTCCCTGATGACATTTGTTGGGCCTTTCTACTATAATTTTAAGCTTCAGTGGGTTTGGGCAGACCCCTATATGGTGATATTGGGAGTGTGGGCTTTTTGAATTCGATGGTGGGATGGGATAGCCAACTGAATTAAGACAGGACAAATGTACTCAATATTTTATGTTGGTCTAATGAGGGTGTGGGCATCTTTGATCAGTATGCATTGAATTGTGATGCTCTTCATACAAGCCATTTCTTTGTCCATTTGTAGGGAACGACGGTATAAAGAGAGGGAACGGGAGCGCAATAAGAAGGACCGGGAGCGGGAGAAGGATGGGCACCGAAGAGACAGGAAACGCTCCAGGTAAAATACTATTCTCCTGATGCAAGTGTTATAGATGAGGCAGCTGAAAGGAGTTGTTACCCAGATCACTATATTTGCGAAGGTCTGTGACTAGCAAAAGCTAGCACAGAGAAAACATGTGTATTTGGGGGTAAAAATTATTTGGGATCTTTAACCCTGTGTATACCAAGGTCCAGATTCAGACCAACACCTGAAAGAATGAGGGGGAATAAGCTTTCTTAAACAGAAAAGGGATTTTATTTAATTAGTAGAAAAGAAACTAAATTGAGTTGAGCGATAAAATGGAGGTATACAGAAGGGGGAAATGCCAGGATAAAATACAGATAGAATCCCCAACCTATCCCCTAATAAACTGCTTAACTGAGAAAACCTGAAAGGGGGAAACAAGACATAGAAACCTGATCTTGCAGAGAAGGGGGGTGGGTTCCTTGGTGGCAAAGAGGCAACTTCGGGAGCTGAAATTGACCCAGTGGGAAGAAAGTGCAGGAAGGCAGATCTGTGGAGTGATCAGAGGAACGGAAGGCCAACTGGGAAGTTGGGGTAACTAGATGAATCCAAACTGGCTACAAAAATGGGCTGAGGGGTAACTCTTTGTATCCTTTTTCCAAGAGTGAGGAGAGAAAGGTGTCTTGGTACTGGAATGTGAGATGGGTGAAAATTCAGTCTCTCCGGAGATGAGCTGGTTTGAAAAGAGTGTCTTTGTTTGCATTGTGGGGGAGAATCTTCCTTGTTCGCATTAAACATGCCAAAAATGTTCCCTTGGAGAGTTTTGGAAGTTAGATATGTAGGTATCTGTGGCTGGGCACTTGACATGATTGGGGAAGGGCAGTAGGTTTCCTGTCCAGTTGATAAGATTGGGGGGAGGGACTTCTGGAATCTGCTTATTGTTGTGGAGACCTGTGTTGTTCATTATCAGGGAGGAGGCTCTGAGGTCATTGGGGGAAGTGGCCTCCAGCTGACTCTCTCTTAGGATGGGCTTTGCATGATTGATCGAGGAGCTGCCCAACATTCCTCCTGGCTTCAGCCTGACTCAGTGCCATCTAATATTAGCTTGATACAGACTCCATCTGTCATTTCTACTCCTATGCTGAGATGTACACGTGTACAAGTAGGGATCAGACGTTACAAAAGTAAGGGTCCTTTTGGGGTGTGAGAGTCCTGGGGGTGTGAGAGTTGTCACGGGCACTGCAGAAAATCACTTGGTTGCATGAACATTTGGGCAGCAGTGCAGAGTTAGCTACTTTTTTGGGGTTCCTGAAGAATGAAAACACTACTGGGAGCAAGTACCACTGAATTACATGGGACTTCCTTTTGAGAAGACCTGGTTAGGATTTCTTTCTGAATCCCTTTAATAATATTGTGCCATACAGGTATTTGGGAAGCCATGTATCACATCTGATTGATCTTGTCAGTTGGGATATCAGGTCAGACTTGTCTAAACTGGGCTAATGCCAGGATGCCCAAGCCCCATAACAGGATCATCCCTGACCAAGAGTGAGTAGCTCTGCAGAGTTGTTGACCTTGCTAGCAGCATAATTCCTTAAGGTGGGCTGCTGATCAAAGCATGATATTCCCCATACAAAATTAGTCCAGCTTTTCCATCACCTGTCAGGTACTCTCACAATACATTCGTCCTGTACAGGGAGCTGACCAGCATCCTTCTGGCAGCTTCTGCTCATCTCCGCGTGTGGTTTTTAGTGCGGCTCAGTCACCCTTGTGTGCTGCTAACAAAGGCCAGGAATTAAGTAGCTTGCTGACTTTCTTGAGAAAGTAGTTTGGAAGTATTGGGGAGAGCTGTGTTGATGGGCTGTTTGCATCATGTTTGACTCTCACTTCCCTCTTGAACAGAAGCATCTCTCCAAGTCGCAACAAGGACTCCAAATCCAGGAAAGACAGAGATTCCCGCAAGGATGAAGAGGATGATGCAGGGGGCAAGAGGGAAAAGGTGCTGCATGTACTTTCAGGGGCTACAGTACTTGCTCTCTTTCTTGTCACAAGAACCAAATGACACCTGAGCTGAAAGAGCAGCTCTTCTCAGTTACCCAGACTGCTTAGAGGCTAGTCCGAATAGGCTCTGACTCTCCCGCATCACACTGATTTCCTTAATTGAGAGCCTCATTAATGAAAGTCTCTCAGATGGGAATCTTGTCTCTTGGTTAGGAAGCTTCAACACCATTGTGTAATAGTGCTCTCGGCCATCTTTATGTTCTTATTGGTATTGTGCGTCTAGGAAGTGTGCATGGTGAGGTGAAAGGAGAGGCCTTCTCGATTATAGTGGCTGCATGGGAACAGTTGCACAGGTGCCCTGTCAGCCTTGCTGCTCTGCAGTTCTGTGGCATGGCTTTTTGTGGTAGCAGTCCCTGAATGCAGAGGACTTTTCTAGGATCCTGAGCATCATTCTCTTTTATTTGCAGGCACAGCCACTCTCCCTGGAGGAGCTGCTGGCTAAGAAAAAAGCTGAGGAAGAGGCTGAAGCCAAGGTGAGAGCATGGGGCACCTCTCCTTTTTCTCTGCTTCTACCTGCTAACCCGTCTGCTGCTGGCATGAGGCCAACTGGCATGTGTGTCTCAGCAGTTTCAGCAAAGAGACTACCAAATATGCACACACCCTTCGTTCAGCACTTTTCCTAATGGAGGCACACAGAGTTCACTTGTAGCCTTACTAGCTTGTGCTGGTTTCTTGCAGCCCAAATTCCTTTCCAAGGCAGAACGAGAAGCTGAGGCCTTGAAACGCCGGCAGCAGGAGGTGGAGGAACGACAGCGGCTGCTGGAGGATGAGAGGAAAAAAAGAAAGCAGTTCCAAGAAATGGGCAGGAAGATGCTTGGTAAGACTTCCTTCCAGTTTGGTGCAGTGGGTTAAGTGCGTGGACTCTAATCTCGGAGAACCGGGTTTGATTCTCCACTCTTCCACTTGCAGCTGCTGGATGATCTTGGGCATGCCATAGTTCTGTCAGAGCTGTTCTTGAAAGAGCAGTTCTCTCAGCCCCACCTACCTCACTGGGTGCCTGTTGTGGGGAGGGGAAGGGAAAGGCGTTTGTATGCCACTCTGAGACTGGGTGAAGGGTGGGGTATAAATCCAATCTCCTCCTCCTCCTCCTAGGTGACTAGATACCCAGCTAGAGTAGTTTTTGTTGAATTCCTGTTCTGAAGTTGAGAGACCAGGATGCCCCACTTCCCTGACAATTTGCTCTTTTATCTGCTTGCAGAGGACCCCCAGGAGAGAGAGCGGCGTGAGCGGAGGGAACGCATGGAACGGGAGACCAACGGCAATGAAGATGAGGAGGGGCGGCAGAAGATCCGCGAAGAGAAAGACAAGAGCAAGGAATTGCATGCCATCAAGGTAACACTTACTGGACTGGGCAAAGTCCTGGGCCTCCATTTATCGCTGTTTTCTGATGTGAATGGAGATCCACAGGTTAAAGCAGGAAGGCTGGGATTGGAGGGGACTCTTTAAAATCTAGGCCAAGATGCACCAGGATTTCACAGGGGGAAGTAGGCACAACTTGGCCACCACTAGTCTTAGGTTTGAACCAGTTTTAAAATGCCCCAGCAAGCATCCAGATCACAATTTGACATATTATGAAAAAGATTGATTTATGATTGCGTGTCATAACAAAGCCCCATATTGGGCCATTTACAAAACCAAACTGATGTGTTCCAGCAGTGCTAACCCACTGGCTTCCGCCTGGAGGAAAACAGCTGTGGAAATCTGTAATCTAGAAAAGCCAAGCTGTGCTGGCGACAACTCACTTACTCTCCCATTGGCCACTGGGGAAGCTACCTTGGTGTCCTGTTGGCCTGTCCCACCGGCTCCTCCATTCTTACACCCCCCACTTTTGATGCATTGCAGCTCGGGAGTTGTAGTACTCAGCTTGCCTTACTGCAACCATAGCAAAGGGAATTATTTATTATTTATTTATATTTATTTATTTGTTAAATTTATACCCCGCCCTCCCCCGTAGGGCTCAGGGCGGCTTACATAGTATAAAAACTTACTCATAAAAACATCAAATACTTTAGTACAAAAATGCAATATACAATTTAAAACCCAAACAAACAATAAAGTGCTCAACTACAGCATCCATTTCAGAATATCAGAGAGGACAAAACCACAAAAACCAAACATCCCCCAGTAGGCATTGCATAGTAGATGTTGAACAGATGTTCCTCCTACCCTCCTAGGGCCCTCAACCCCCCCACATTGATGGTAATATAGCAGGGGGGGGCGGCAGCGGCCCCTAATCAAAAGCCTGGTGGAAGAGCTCCGTCTTACTGCACCAGGTCCCGCAGGGCCCGGATCTCCTCTGGGAGCTCGTTCCACCAGGTGGGGGCCGCCACCGAGAAAGCCCTAGCCCTCGTGACGGCCAACTTAGCATCCTTGGGGCCCGGTATAGTTAGAAAATTTTGGGCCCCAGACCGTAGCGCTCTTGGGGGAACATACGGGGAAAGGCGGTCCCTCAGGTAGGCTGGACCCAGACCATATAGGGCTTTATAGGTAAGAACCAGCACTTTGAAGCGAATCCAGTACGCTATTGGCAACCAGTGCAGCGCTTTCAGCATAGGCTGAATATGGTCCCTTCTAGAGAGACCCATTAACAGCCTGGCCACAGCATTCTGCACCAGTTGCAGCCTCCGGATTTGCGACAAAGGCAGCCCCATGTAGAGAGCGTTGCAGTGGTCTAGCCTCGAGGTGACCGTCGCATGGATCACTGTGGCTAGATCATCACGGTCCAGGTAGGGGGCCAACTGCCGAGCCCGTCGAAGATGGAAAAAGGCGGACTTGACAGTGGCTGCCACCTGGACCTCCATCGTTAAGGCGGAGTCCAGGTGAACTCCCAGACTCCTAACCCCAGACGTAGGCACCAAAGGCACCCCATCGAAGGTCGGGAGAGGGAACCCCAACCCTGTCCCGGTCCGACTCAAGCCCAGGACCTCCGTTTTTGCCGGGTTTAGTTTCAATCGACTTAGTCGGAGCCAACCAGCCACAGCTTCAAGTGCCCGATGCAGGTCATCGGGACCTGAGTTCGACCGGCCACCCAGCATCAGATAGAGCTGGGTGTCATCCGCATATTGATGACATCCCAACCCATAACTCCGGACAATCTGGGCAAGGGGGCGCATATAGATGTTGAATAGCATCGGGGACAGCACAGCCCCCTGTGGCACCCCACACTCAATGGGGTGCCTATGGGAGCGCTGGTCCCCGAGAGCCACCCTTTGTCCCCGACCTTGGAGGAAAGAGGCAAACCATTGCAAGGCAAGCCCCCGAATCCCCACGTCGGCAAGGCGATGGATCAGCAACTGGTGGTCGACAGTGTCAAACGCTGCCGACAGATCTAACAACACCAGCGCTGCTACACCACCCCGATCCAGATGTCTCCGGAGATCGTCAGTCAGGGCAACCAAAGCCGTCTCAGTCCCGTGACCTGGGCGGAAGCCGGACTGGAAGGAATCTAAGACTGAAGCATCCTCCAGAAAGCCCTGTAACTGTAACGCCAAGTTGGGAGTCCCAACTGTAACGCCAAGTTGGGAGTCCCAAGAGGCCGTGGGGCATTAGCAGGGAGTCAGCTGAAGTGTTAATCGGTTAAACTGTTAAATGGAGGGGGGGGGAGAGGCCTGGACCTCTCCCTGAATTACAATTGATCTCCAGATTAGAGAGATCAGTCCCCATGGAGAAAATGGTTGCTTTGGAGGCTCTGTGGCAGTATACGTCACTGAAGTCCTTCAACAGCCCTGGCCCTCCCCTAAGTATTGCCAACCTCCAGACGGCACCTGGAAATCCCCAGCTGTTACAACTGATCTCCAAGATCAGTTCTCCTGGAGAAAATGGCTGCTTTGGGCAGTGGACTCTGTGGCATTATGTCCTTCTGAGGTCCCTCCCCATATAAGCCAACCTCCAGGCAGCACCTAGAGATCTCCAGCTATTACAACTGATCTCCAGATGACCAAGATCAGTTCTCCTGCAGAAAATGGCTGCTCTGGGCAGTGGACTCTATGGCATTATAAGTTTGAGTAAATAAATAATAAATTATACCCTGCTGAGGTCCCTCCCCACCCCAAATCCTGCCCTCCCCAGGCTCTGCCCCTCAAATCTACAGGTTTTTCCCCTCCGAGATTTGGCAACACTGTAACTGGCTATGGAAACGCCTTCAAGACCCTTGGAAACCAGAAAACGTGGCATAGGAGGAGGTGCTTTTCTACCTTAGTTGGCGCTGCATAGCCCCAAATGTTAAGTCAGGGGTGGAGGGAACCATACCTGTTACCATGTGGCTTTCCTCCCATACTTCCCACTTGGGGCAGCAAAATGACTTGAGATAGCCCTGCCATATAGCTAAGCAGAAGGAAAGAAACATAGCTCGCCTCCCTCTATTTTCCCCTTCCCTCCCTTGCCCCACCAGCCACAACCAGGGCACTCACCTGGAGCCCCTTCCTGGAGCTCGCTGTATTTCTTCCCTGAACAAGCCTGACTCCTAGTCTAGTCATAATCTGTGGATTACATTATTAGCACCTCTTTTATCCCCACATTTCTGCAATCTAAAGGCTAGCCTGTTTGCAATCTTAAGGCTGGTCTGCTACAATGAGCTTTTTGTGGTGTCCCTGAATATTTTTGGAATGCACAACCGAAGAAGAAAGTAGCATCGCAGCTCTCAAAACAACAGGTCAGCAGAAGCATCTCCTCGGAACCAAATGCTTCATGCTTTAGGACACAGGACTCCAGAGTAGTGCTCTGCTGTGGTGTGGAAAAGTCAAGGAGTGTAACAAGGTGTCTGCTATTTATGCTGAGGGTGAGCAGAAGTTCTGCTCTAGAAAAGTTACAATTTTACACATGTGCATGGTTTCACAGAAATGACAGGCTGTTCCAGTGACAGAGGAAAAAAGGATTTTTCTTGGAACTTCTCTCTAAACCCAAAAATCTCAAAATCCTGATACAGTGTAAACTCCGCTTCCTGGCATGTTTTCCTCAATCCCCTTGCAAGTTACTGACTCCCTAAAGTAACACAAGATCCTGCTCTAGTTCTGCCTTTCCGTAGCCCCCTGAGCCCTATGTACCGAACTAAAGGGAAAAGTTCTTTTTCTTCAACTGGTAAAGCATAACTACTTAACTATTATCCTGGTAGTTTCTCTGTTGTTTCTCTGAGGCAATGACAGACTTTCCCTCCACCTAACTCCCCCCCCCCAAGAGATTCCATAGTCTCTCATTGACTGAAGCCATTTATTATCTTTCTAGCCCCCTGGGGGGGGGCAGGGATTTACTGGGCTGCCTGGAGGACAGGCCATCCATTATGAGGGGTCCTCAGTTTACAAGCTCTTGTGCTGGTAGGCTCTTTCAGAGCATACTTGTATAACGTATTAAAAGGGACTTGAGACTAGGGACAAATGTTGAGTTGGAGATGAACCCAAAAGAAGTGAAGCAAATTGAGAGCTGGTGCAGTGTACTGGCTGTGAGTCTGGGATTGTTGATGGTGTTAGCTGTCTTGCATTTCAACCTGAGAGAGAATGTCAGGGTATAGATTGACTGCATAAGGAATAAGCATTGTTCCACTGTTGTCCCCTTCTTCCCTTGCCAGGAGCGGTACTTGGGTGGGGTCAAAAAGCGGAGGCGCACCCGGCACCTGAATGACCGCAAGTTTGTCTTTGAGTGGGATGCTTCAGAGGACACTTCCATTGACTATAATCCTTTGTGAGTATCTCTTTGGGAAGGAGATCCAGAAAGAGGCCAGTTGTTTCACAGCCCCTGTTCCACAGCATCATTTCTCCAGGGAAGGTCTAAATGCCCAATTTCCTTATCGGGGTGTGATGCAAAAGAACTGGGATACGCCAAGCTCTCTGAGGAAAAGATTACTCAGAATCCAGGATTTGGCACTTTTAAAAAATGATGTGCCGGTTTATAAAAATTGTTTTTTCCTTTATGCTTTATTTGGATTGGACAATTTGTTTTTAGTTATTGACTTGTTTTGTTCTACTTTCTTTTATTAGGGAGGGACCAAAAAGAGAGCTGCCTACCATGCTAATATTCTAGGCGTGCCAATGTCAACTGAGACAGTCCTACTGGCCACCTTACTTTGTTTCATTCTAAAGTCACTCATACAGTCTTTCAGCTTGAGGGCTCAAAGCTTGTTTTTTTTTTAAATAAAAAGGGTACTTGGGATTCACAGACGTCTATCAGATTCTTTGTAGAAGAGGCCACATTGCCCCTCAAGCTGTGTCACAACTACTGGACTCTCTGTTCCTCAGGTACAAGGAGCGACACCAGGTTCAGCTGCTGGGGCGTGGCTTTATTGCTGGCATCGATTTAAAACAGCAGAAACGGGAACAGTCCCGCTTCTATGGAGACCTGATGGAGAAGCGGCGCACACTGGAGGAGAAAGAGCAAGAGGAGTAAGTTTCAGAGTGGAAGGGAGAGGACGGTTTTGGTGGGGTTCACAGTTCGTGGGGATTGGAAGGTTCGCCTGACATCAGTGTGGCTTTTCTGGCTTTTCTGTACTGTGGAAGTGTTCCATGTTGTCGTATCTGTCTTAGTTCACTGCAGATCAGCAACCAACATTCTGGATGCTCATGATGAGAAAAATAAGTTATGCATATTACTAACATGCACAAGGGAGCTGCGGTGGCACAAGTGCTTAAGACGCTGAACTGCAGGCTCTGGAAGGTCGGTAGTTCAGCAGTCCGAGACCTGAGTGTGCCGCATGACGGAGTGAGCTCCCGTCTCTAGTTCCAGCTCCTGCCAACCTAGCAGTTCGAAAGCAAGAAATTGCAAGTAGATAAATAGGTACCACTACAGTGGGAAGGTAACAGCGTTCCGTGCACCTTGGTGTTTAGTCATGCCGGCCACATGACCACGGAAATGTCTTCGGACAACGCTGGCTCTCTTTGGCTTTGAAACGGAGATGAGCACTGCAACCCTAGAGTCGGATTCGACTGGCTTTCGAGCAAGGGAATCTTTACCTTTACCTTTTAACATGCACAAGCTTTATATGATTTGTTGGATGTATTAGCCTCATGTGCCTTTCAGTATCCAGCAAGGAAGGCATAAATTGCCTACCAGGGTAAGGGTGTTAATAGGAATCCTTGCAAAGTAGTGCAGTAATGGAAGAGGATGAGGAATTGGAGAACAGTAATACTTAGCAAGTTGTGATGGTCAAACATCTTTTTTCTGCTTATGGAAAATCCCAGCCACTCTTCTCTTATATTAGCATTCAGACCAGACATCTTCACAATGATAAGGGCTGGAAACTTACTGCTTTGAAAACAAAATGTGAATGTACTAAATATCCTGGAAGTGAACTCCCATGTTCTTGATACAATCATGGTTTGCAGTAAAGCAGGTTTCCTGCATCTGTCCTTTCATAGTTAAACAGAAAGTGCCCTCTGTTGGCTCGCTGCCTGTTCATCCAATGGTTTTGGCCACTGGCAATCACTGCCACTGGCTCTTCTGACTTCTCCGTGTGTGTTTTTCCCCACTTCGCAGGGCACGTCTGCGCAAGCTGCGTAAAAAGGAGGCCAAGCAGCGCTGGGATGATCGGCACTGGTCTCAAAAGAAGCTGGATGAGATGACGGACAGGGACTGGCGAATTTTCCGGGAGGATTACAGCATCACAACCAAGGGGGGCAAGATCCCCAACCCCATCCGTTCCTGGAAGGACTCCTCACTGCCCCCTCACATCTTGGAGGTTATCGACAAATGCGGCTACAAGGTGAGGCCAAGTCATTAATCCCCTGTCATGCAGTCTGACTTACTGCTGGACCTTGCATAACTGTTTGGAGGAACAGAGAGCCAGTTTGGTGTAGTGGTTAAGTGCGCGGACTCTAATCTGGGAGAACCGGGTTTGAGTCCCCACTCCTCCACTTGCACCTGCTGATATGACCTTGGGTCAGTCACAAGCTCTGGCACAGCTGTCCTTGAAAAAGAGCAGTTTGTGTCAGAGCTCTCTCAGCCCCACCCACCTCACAGGGTGTCTGTTGTGGGGAGGGGAAGGGAGAGAAGTTTGTAAGCCGCTCTGAGACTCCAAGTGAAGGGGGGGTATAAATCCAATCTCTTCTTCTTCTTCTTTGTCTTGGGGAAGGTTGAGAATCAGGGCTTTGGGGTGATCAGACCTGTTCTTGCAAGGACAAATTGTCTAGTGGATATGGGGACAGCTCAGAGCCAGAGATTATTGCAGTCTGTTACTGTCTCCTTGAACTCCCGAGAGGTCTCTAGAAGTTCAGCACCATCCTCACAGGTTTTGTCCCTTGGTCCACATAGGAACCTACTCCTATCCAGCGTCAAGCCATCCCTATTGGTCTGCAGAACCGTGATATCATTGGTGTGGCCGAGACCGGCAGTGGTAAAACCGCTGCCTTCCTTATCCCACTGCTGGTATGGATCACCACCCTGCCCAAGATCGACAGGTAAGATAGCGGCCGGGACAGTCTTATGTCGGCAGGGCAATTCAGGTACCCTGAGAGGGCGTCTTGGAGAGGAGGATAGCCTCCTCCTGGCAAGGTCTGGTCATGTGTGCGCTGGCAGAACTCAGGCTTGCACTTGGGTCTTATTCCTGTGATCCACTGCTGAATCGGGTGAGAGTCAGGGTATGTGTTTATTTAAAACTTGTGAGTGAGGCGCCCACATAGTAGCATTGATTGAGGAAGGGGCCACAGCCAAGGAATGGTATGAACCTAAGAATAGCTGTCCTGGATCATACCAAGGTTGGTGTGGTCTGCCATCCAACCATATACCCCTTGGGAAGCTAGCGAGCAGAGCATGATGGAGAGAGCTATCCACTATGCTGCGACTTTTCTTTCTCTTGTGTGCCCTGCAGTGACCACATGGAGAGTACCTTGCTTTATTTTGACCCAAAAAAACAATAAAACAATAAATCACCGTGTATGAGTATACAATATAAGCAAATATTTATATATAATGCTTTTGAAATTAAATTGTCAGCAAAATTACAACTATAACAAATTAAATGCAATCTTAGGCTTGACAGTACATATGAGACACTACAGTATAATTTTAGACAAACAACGGATATCTAGTATAAGTCCGTTTACGAATCCTTCTTCAGGTTTGTCGTCTGTTTTCTTATCTTCAATCAAATAAAGTGCTGCAAGCTGCAATGAAGTGTAACATGCTTAATACTAACAAAAAACATAAAATTTACTCAAATATACAAGGAGGATTTACAATTTATAAACTCACCATTATTTCACAATGTAAATTTCATATACAGTTTTTTGTACGTTTTCACGCTTAATCTAAAGGAAAGCAGACAAGCACAATGAATATTCTACAGTCCATCAGTGACACATATACAGGAATAATTTCAAGAAAAATAATTATTTCAAAATTTACCAACCTGGTGACTGGGGAGCTCCTATCATGCTCTCATGTGACAGAGTCTACAATGTGATATTTGGCTCAGCTACCCTCAGTGTGGCACAATGTCTCAATGGAAAATTTGTAGGATCCAACAGGTGCGATGTTTTAAGATGGCATTTTTATCTTAAAGGTACCCTGACCATTTACAGAAAGGAACTCAAATCAATTTTGGAAAAGATATATTGACGACATTATCTGTCTGTTTAGAGATGAAAGTAAATTCCAGCAATTCTGTGTATGGCTAAATTCATTACATGCCACTATTAAGTTTACTGAACATCATCATCATCATCACATTAACTTTTTAGATGTGCTCATTACCATCAGTGATAATAGAACACTATATTTCAAGTCGTTTTGTAAGAGCTCTGACAAGAACTCATTCTTAAAATATGATTCTTATCACTCACCCCAATTACGTAACAACATACCATATGGACAATTATTGAGACTTAAAAGAAATTCCACACTTTGCTCTGACTATGAGCAGGACTCTAAGAAAATGATGGGTCAATTTTTAGACAGAGGGTACCCAGAACACATAGTCTATTCTGCCTACTCTAGAGCCAATAAAGTAAATAGAATGTCCTTATTACAGAACAAAACCAAAATAGAGAGCAATCGCATTCAGTGTGCTTTTCAATACAACCTCTTAGCAAAACCTATTAAAAACATTATATTAAAACACTGGCATTTACTTAGTGAGGTTCCAGGATGCTCCCTGACTCCTGTAATAGGTTTTAGAAGAACCAGAAATTTAGGAGATGTTTTGGTCCATTCTGATATAAGTAGACATTCCAATACAGTTCCAGTCAGAGTGGGACACTTTAAATGTGGGAAAAGTTGTAATGTATGTCCACTATCTATTGTAGGCTCTGTCTTTCAGCATCCTACTAGTACAGAGCAAGTGAAGATTAATCACTTCAGTAATTGTAATACCTCTAATGTAGTATATGCCTGTGTATGTGTGTGTAAATTGGTCTACATAGGAATCAGTACAAGACCTATAAAAATCCGTATACAGGAACATCTATCTCGCATTAGGAACCAGGTGGAGTCTGCTCCAATGGTTGCCCATTTCAAAACTGCAGCACACAAACCAGAAGATTTCAAATTTATGGTATTGTTTCATTATAGATCACAATCCTACAATCAAGTAGACATATCCCGGGTTTTACTACAGAAAGAAGCTGAACTTATTTTCAGACTACATACACTGATTCCATCAGGATTAAATCAGGAACTTGATTTGAGTTCCTTTCTGTAAATGGTCAGGGTACCTTTAAGATAAAAATGCCATCTTAAAACATCACACCTGTTGGATCCTACAAATTTTCCATTGAGACATTGTGCCACACTGAGGGTAGCTGAGCCAAATATCACATTGTAGACTCTGTCACATGAGAGCATGATAGGAGCTCCCCAGTCACCAGGTTGGTAAATTTTGAAATAATTATTTTTCTTGAAATTATTCCTGTATATGTGTCACTGATGGACTGTAGAATATTCATTGTGCTTGTCTGCTTTCCTTTAGATTAAGCGTGAAAACGTACAAAAAACTGTATATGAAATTTACATTGTGAAATAATGGTGAGTTTATAAATTGTAAATCCTCCTTGTATATTTGAGTAAATTTTATGTTTTTTGTTAGTATTAAGCATGTTACACTTCATTGCAGCTTGCAGCACTTTATTTGATTGAAGATAAGAAAACAGACGACAAACCTGAAGAAGGATTCGTAAACGGACTTATACTAGATATCCGTTGTTTGTCTAAAATTATACTGTAGTGTCTCATATGTACTGTCAAGCCTAAGATTGCATTTAATTTGTTATAGTTGTAATTTTGCTGACAATTTAATTTCAAAAGCATTATATATAAATATTTGCTTATATTGTATACTCATACACGGTGATTTATTGTTTTATTGTTTTGCTGGTTACATTACACCGTTGTCTTGTTTGTTATATTATTTTGACCCAAGTCAGCATTTGCCTCGTAAAGAACCTGGTTCACTTGGAACCTATTGAGTTCATTGGGCCCGCCTACCAGGTGGTGCCCTAGTCAGAAGCCTCTGGGCTTATACAGACCCCCAGTGTCACTCTGCTGTGCTTGTTAGCTAGATCCTAGTCACACGGACACACAGACACACATAAGCATCTGAAGTCACCCCTTAATTTTATAAGTGCTAGGAACTCTCTGGATGGGAACCTGTGGAGTCTCTTAGGCTATAGAAGGAGCCGTTCCACATTGTTCCTCTTGAGTTTTCTCGATTTCAGGATTGAGGAGTCAGATCAGGGCCCTTACGCCATCATCCTGGCCCCCACCCGTGAGTTGGCTCAGCAGATCGAGGAAGAGACCATCAAATTTGGAAAGCCTCTGGGAATCCGCACAGTGGCTGTTATTGGTGGCATCTCTCGTGAGGACCAAGGCTTCCGGCTGCGCATGGGCTGTGAGGTAAGGAGGGGTGATTGACCTCAAATATCAGGACGGACTCTGCTCCCTTTCCAGGCATCAAGGCTGACCTTGTACACTGAAAGTGTGCTGTAGGAATGGTAAATTTTAACCTTAGTTGTCTTTCACTGCATAATCAAGCTCGGTTTTCTGCTTGGGTAGGGCTATAGCAAATATGTTTGCTTTATGGGTGGGGAAAGGGAAGAATAATAGACTGTGGTTACAAGGGCAAACGTAAGTTCACTTCTGCCTCCTAAAACCTGTTTTTTCTATCCCAATGCTGCAGATTGTTATCGCCACTCCTGGCCGTCTCATTGATGTGCTGGAGAACCGTTACCTCGTGTTGAGCCGCTGCACCTATGTGGTATTGGATGAGGCCGACCGCATGATTGACATGGGCTTTGAGCCTGATGTGCAGAAGATCTTGGAACACATGCCTGTCACCAACCAGAAACCTGACACTGATGAGGCTGAGGACCCTGAGAAGATGCTGGCCAATTTTGAATCGGGCAAGCACAAATACCGACAGGTCAGTGGGGCTCAGCGCTCATCCAGTCCTTTGACTGGCAAAAAGCAAAGTCCCTGGGTTCAGGTTGATTGGCACTTTTCTATGTCTGGTACAAAAATTAGTCTCTTAATCCAAGTTGGTCAAAACATGATTTGGGGGGGGGGGGTGCTTTTATAATTGTGGACTATGGTTTTCAGGAAGCCAGATTCTGTTCCAAAGTTCAGAATCACATTCACTAGTAAAGAACAAGTTAAGAGGAAGCTAGATGGAAAGAGGAGAAATGAGTTCCTCAGATCATAGTTTAATTGAGAAAGAGGAAAGCAGAACAAAGATCAAATTAAAGCTGGCCACATTTGGGGCAGAAAAGAGAACTCGTCGCTTAGCAGCTGGGAGAGATGAAATGGTGGGATAACAGGCACAGGGAGATTAAGGATTTCAAGAGAGAAAAAACTGGATTCCCTTTTACGCGAACATGTCTTTCTTAACCGGATGTGTGGAGGCTGGTGATAGCTGGAGGGAATCTCCTGAGAAAAGAGAGCCTAAGTGGGAATTCTTAAAATCTATGCATTCCCCACAAGATCTGCCGTAAGCCGTACATGCGCCACTCCTCCACTTACCAGGGGTACTGGGGGAGCCCCCCTGCCCCGTGGGAGGAGAGGCAGGGATCCCTCTCATTTTGTTTTTGCATCCCTGGCAGACGGTGATGTTCACAGCCACCATGCCACCTGCTGTGGAGCGCCTGGCCCGCAGTTATCTGCGCCGACCCGCCGTGGTCTACATTGGCTCAGCTGGGAAACCGCACGAGCGTGTGGAGCAGAAGGTCTTCCTCATGTCAGAATCGGAGAAGAGGTATGGATTGATTTGGCGGCTTATTATGGGGGGGACAGTGGGAGTTTGATTTGCCTAGTTCAGGCATGACAGTGAGGGGGGGGGAGTCCTTTTGGGAGCTGTAATGTGGGTCCTCTTGGAGGAGGGCAGAGGTACAACTTGGATTAACTTGGCTGTTTGATTAACAGGGCTGCCCTCCAAAAATGTGTCCTGTGCTTAGGCAGTTTTAAATCTAGTATAGCGTTAAGAGTGTTTTTTGCGTTCTCCCAGCATTGGTCGCATCTGCATAGCCCTGGTTATAGAATAGGGCTCTCCCAGCACAACGGGGGCTTGTACTGTAGTGGGATAACCTGAGTGGGATCTGTGGAATGGGATTCCTGTGCTTCCCTTTGGAATTCCGTATGGCTCAGGATATGACCCCGTTCCCAGATCAGGCTAAGAGGAGTCATGTTATCAGGAAGACTAAAATACTGATGGCTTGGGCAGCATGAAGAGCAACAAGGTTGTGCGTGTGGGAGGCTAGAGGGTCAGGAGAACAGTGTCTGTATGACTTCATGTGAGTGCACACCATGGCACATGGATCAGAGATACAGATGGGCCACAGGATATGGTTCAGCATAGGCCTCCCTCTCCCCAGATCATTTAAAGATGGTGCCGGGCCAAATGGAAGTTCCAGGCAGCATTGTGGCTTTGGGTGGTGGGTATTGTCTCCGCTTGTTTCTGAACAGCAGAGCATTAAATTATCCCAAAGGGTATTGTAAAGATGAGGAAAGTCTTTAGTATGGGGTGAGAGATCATTACTTCTAGGCATAGTGGGGAACATCTCTACTTGATGGGCATCTTTGGGCCCGGCATCCCTGTTGCCCACATATTTGCTTATTCCTCATATTCCTTCCTCTCCCTGCACAGGAAGAAGTTGCTGGCTATTTTGGAGCAGGGCTTTGATCCACCTATTATTATCTTTGTCAACCAGAAGAAGGGCTGTGATGTACTGGCCAAATCTCTGGAGAAGATGGGGGTAAGTGGTCGTCCTTCTGATGAAATACAAAGCCGTTTATGGAGGTACCAAAGGCCCGTGTAGGGTTTACCTCCCCATCTTTTGAAGCATCTGAATTCCTTGAATATACAATCCCTGTTTCATGCTAAGGAGCGATCTCTGACCTCCCTCACAGTAAACAGGCAAAATGGCAGGTACGGCTGTTGAGCTCATAGCAGCTCGGGAACCATTACTGCTACTTGTCCGTTCTTGGTTTGGCAGTTTCCCCTTTAGTATCCTGCAATGTAATCAACATTGTCTGTCTTGTGAGAGCGCCACTGAGGTCCTTGAGAATGGTAGACCACTCTGCTGCGCCCGGTTGAAATTCCTGACTAGCTTTGCCTCTGGAAGGAACTCCTGCCAGTCTCTGCCTGCCTAACCCCATCCCAGCCAGCTGTCTCCCAGTCTAACTTGTCATCCTCCCTGTTTCTGCAGTACAATGCCTGCACCCTTCATGGTGGCAAAGGTCAGGAGCAGCGAGAATTTGCACTCTCCAACTTGAAGGCTGGTGCCAAGGACATCCTAGTTGCCACAGATGTGGCTGGACGTGGTATTGACATCCAGGACGTGTCCATGGTGGTGAACTATGACATGGCTAAGAACATAGAAGGTGAGATGATATCCTTAGTCACCTCCATTGCCTTGGAAATCTTTTAGGCACCCCCCCCCTTCTGTGAGGCATAACTGTTGTAGTCCTGCCTGCTGAATTGATGCTTAGAAGTGAGATGAGATCCTGTGTGCATGCTGCTAGCTACTCAACTAAATGTGTCGCCTCTGTTAGATCCCAGAGTGACTTGGGTTATCAAAGAACAGAGAGATCTGTTCCCCAGCACTGAGAGCTGGTGTAGAACACTTGAAACGAGTTTCAGCCAAGAACTTTTTAGATGGCCACAGACAATCCACTCTCTCAGTCCCATTTGTAACACGGGAATAATAATACAGCCCTACCTTACTGGACTGTGATAATTAATGATGACTGACAATGTATATGAAATGGTTTGAATGCTGTCAAATCCCTATCTGATAAAGACTTCTGCTATAACCTGTATTCTGTGTGACTGTTAAGTGGTGACTAGGTTCTGTCTGTATCTGGCACTGTGTGGCTCTTAGCCAGCTGTGATGTGCATCTTTGTTTCTCATTCTGCTCTCCTTCCGTTCTTGCAGATTATATCCATCGCATTGGTCGAACAGGAAGAGCTGGCAAGAGTGGTGTGGCTATCTCGTTTGTCACCAAGGAGGACTCCGCTGTCTTCTATGACCTCAAGCAGGCCATCCTTGAGAGCCCAGTATCCTCCTGCCCACCCGAGTTGGCCAACCACCCAGATGCCCAGCACAAGCCAGGAACCATCCTCACCAAGAAGCGACGAGAGGAGACTATCTTTGCCTGAGCCCTGTAGAAGTGCCACAACAGGTTCTCGGATTGTGATGGGAGGACATCCCCCCCCCCTTCATGTCCTGGAGCTTAAGCAAGACTGACTAAGGGAGTTCCTCTCTCCAGATGTGAAGTGGTCCTTCAGTCCCACGTTCCTTGCCTTCACAGAGGCAGTGGCTTTCATTCCTCCCCCACAAAGGAGTTCACTTTTCCCCTTGTGCTGATGACCAAACAGTGGGGACTGCAGCCAGGGGAAAAAAGATGTCCTGATCGCTTCACTTTTGTTATTGTTGGATCCAATGTTTATATTTTCCTCCAGGCAAACTTCCTTAATCCTTGAGTTAAGAAGCTGAACTCAAGCTGTGGCCAGCACTCTTACCTTGCTTTGTTGGCACTCTGACTTCAGCCCCTGTGACTGTGGGCTAGGCTGCTACATGTTTTCTGTCCCTTTCTCCCCAACTTATAAGACCAGGGTTTAGGCCTGCCTGAGGAAAGTCGCTGCAGATCCTAGGCACTGTAGACAGATTGCTGCAGGCACTCTTTATTTTGTCCCAGGGAAGACTTAACCCACCCACCCCCACCCCCGTTCCAGACTGTTGGGTTTCAGCCTGTTAGTTTTATGGGTGTGTGTACAGAAAGCTTGTTTATCCAGTAAAAATGGGGGCAGGAGGTTGACAGAGAGAAAGCCTCTCTGATATTTTTTAATGATGATTTCTGCTTCTATGAAACCATGTGAAATGTTGCTCAGGACTTTTGTCACAAACAAGGACAGGGACTCAAGTTCAGGCAATGAGGTTGTCCTGTGAAATAATCCGTCACTGCAGTCTTTTGAATCTAGCAGTGGCCCCTTAAAAAATAAAAAGGCGATACCCAAAAGAAGCAAGAAAAGTTGGGTTTTGATATTCCTGACTTTAGTGCGCAAGTGAGAGAAAAGCAGCAGCAAGTATTTGAAGTGTGACAAGGTGGGGGAAGAATAAAAGAGAAGCTTATGTTTGTTTGTTTGTTTAAAAAATCTGTATTCAGGTCCTCCTCCATCTTTCCAAAGCCAAACCCAGGGAATGGCAGAATTCAGCCCAGGAAACTGTTTCCTGCTGGTGCTCACACCCTCTGCTGCAATGGTGAAGAATGCAAGTTGCACTTGGAAAAAATATTTGTTTTTCTTTGGAGCTGCTTTCCCCTGGATGGTTTGTAACTGCTACAACGACCAAGGTGCAGAAGTGGCACACATCTCATGTCAGCACTGATAGACCAGGGCTTTTTTAACTGACATTTTTCTCAGCAAAACCATCCCAGCTGGAAAAGGATCAGGACTTCACTTCTGGGCATTTTACCAGAAAAGTGACAATTGAAATGCACAAACTCCATTTACAACCAACACAAGGCATACTTTGTACATTGGTAGTCATACTGTGGTGCAAACTGTTGAGAGAGAAGCAGCCCTCAGATCTTTCTGTAATTTGGTTGGTGGCCACTGTTTTAGACCTAGTGTGCTGCAGGACACGTCGGGTATAAAAGTGTCACTCCAGAGCACGTTCTGCAACCCTCTGTCTTGGTCTGCTTTTGCCTCGTGAGCAAGTGCTGGTGATCTGGTCTGGCGGTGGTAGAGCCATGTGGGCAGTCTTCCTTGCCTCCTGTCCAGGATCACCAGAC